CCCCCCCCTTCGCCCTAGTTCACCTCGACGCCAGAGGGCCGCACCCGGTCCAACGAACGACATTTCCCCCACACCCATACCAGAAGGGCAGAGAACAAGCCAAGGTGAAGCCGTACGCCCTAGTCCCTACTCGCCGTCCCTCATCAACTCCATAATCCCCTTACCCAGGGGCGCCCAGCCTTCGGGCGATTGCCTATGGGCTATCTGCGACGGCTGCTGCCAGCCTTCTGGCCGGCCCCCCTTCACACCCTCTCAACCACCTCATGCTTACAACAGGAACCGGCATGGCGAAAAGGGGCAAGAAGGAGGGCGGGAGGGGGTCAAAGGCTAAGAGATAGGCCCAGCTAGGCTCACCCCCACCGCCAACCAGTAGCACAGAGCAACCACTTGAGTTCGTCGTCAAAATTTTGCCTCCCCCCGCAGAGGGTGACTGGATGGCGAAAGGCCTTGAACAGCGAAAGGATGAATGTCAGGGCATGGCGATTCCTCGAGCCCAGCTCACGTCAGACCCAAGCTGGTTCCCGGCGGTGTTCCTGCCCGGACAACCCCAACAGCTCGTCATCCGAACACAGGCACAGGCACAAAGGGCCCAAGTTCTAAAAAGAATGGAAAAACGTTAAAGTGAGAGGGGTGGAAGCTGACTGGTGAGGCGGAGCCACTGCATTTGCCCCGCCGTCAGCTGCTTCGAGCCAAATATGCTGTACGTCGGGTATACTGCTAGTGATGAGCTGGATGACGAGCAAGGGTCGTGAAATCAACCTTGACTGATACTGTGTTCCCAATAATTGATAGTGTACATTCTCTCATCGTGCTGATTACTAGACATCAGCAAACGGCCAACCCGGCCCAAAAACACCTGAACACCATCATGACCTGTATAGTAAATGCAATTTCTCCGATGTAGTGAGAGCTGGGTGCCTACCCGGTCCGCTGTCGTGTCCCCTTAGTCGTCGAAATAATCTTCAAGTCGTCCTGATGGAGCTCCTGCGATTACGCCTGCGAATGTGAAAGCCCACCCTTACCCCGCCCCTGCGCGCGTTTGTGAACAAAGAGATGGCCGGCGTAAGCAGTAGCAGTTTGCAGAGATCTGTCGTCGACTGATGTATCACCGTACCTTGGTAGCCTGCAAGTCCATGGGGATACTACTGCGTGTCTTCGTCTGTAACAGGGGCTTGCCTCCTAGTGGCCATGAGCCTGCCGGACGACGACATTGAATCAGGCACGTTTCAATCCACCCTTCTGATGGCTTACGACCTTGAGAGTCGTACCCAAGTTGTGCCCGAGGTACCCGATCATAGCTCGACTGACTTCCGCGTCGTCGGTGAGCTCACCGCATACGTCTCGGAACTGAGCGTATACCTCTTCCAACTTGTGTAGCTCGCGAGCGAGAATCTCAAGCTCAAGCCAGCGACCGTCTTCGCCCCCCAATGTATAGGCACCAAGACTGATACCTAGACTCGCCCCTGTGCCGCTCAGACCATGCATACTGCCTTGTCCGGCAATTCGATCTTCAATGCCTCCATCGAAATAAGAATGTGTTGCCTTCTGGTAAAAGCTCGTGATCTTGCCGATGATAGTCGCAAGAAGCATGGCAGTTGTGTGTGTTCCTGAACGGCTTAGGCATGGTGCGCATGCGAGCAGAGCAGCACAGCTATCCACAGCTCGGCGGTTTAATGAGAGAACAACGTCGAATGGCGGTGGATCGGGTGAAGATGCGCTGTGCATGTCCTGGAGCGACTGAAGGCAGACTGTAAAACAAGTGCAGAAGTTTGCACCATCATGTTTGGAGCTGACCTTTCTTTGAGCGCTTGGTCCGTTTCGTGGCGTTGAGGAGGGGCTAGGGAAATAGCTTGAGCTCATACTTGCGGGCGTCAACGCCGGAGCGGTTGTACTAAAACATTGTGTATCGCGCGATACTGAATCCACCCACGAATTAAGCTGGGAGGTTGTGTCGTCCATCGATACGGAGCGGCTTTGAGGTCCTGACAGGTTTGTGCCCGTATAGGAAAGATCGGTGTAGTTGATCGACGCAAAGTCGTTGGGAGGCGTCCACGGCAGATTGTTGCTGTATATACTCGTGACGTTGCCAGGGTCCCGAGTATCGAGGCCATTTGCCTCGCAAGGGTTTGATGGGCCCCTACCAAAAGGGTTCGAGAAAGTATCGGCAAAGTCCATTGTAACGTCCCAATTTGTGTCGATCTTGTAAAGAGGGTGGGTGACTGGAATATCACGCAGAAGAGAGGCAGCATTTTCGTCCGCAGTGGTTGAGATACTGGTCGGAGGGGTCTGCAGATTTACGAGGCGGCTGTTAGAGTTATGGTCTGCCTTTGGCTTGCCTGCTCTGCTAGACGGAGAGTAGTTGCACTCCAGGCCGCACGACAAGCAACGTGAGCACATGGGGCGAGCCTTGGAGCACTTGACCTTGGCCAGGAAGCAGCCATCGCAAGAGGCTCGAAGGCGGGGTTGTCGGGTCTTGGAACTTGAAGACATGTCGAGTGGTGAAAAGAGAGAACGCGATGCTTCGGATACGCTCAGCATCAGGGGGGGATGAGTCTCGCGGGAAGTCTCCAGGCCAGGAGATATATATCTTATGCACGTTGCTAGCCAAGGGGGAACAGCAGCAGCGAGATGGCACGGCCAGCTGCAGTGAGATGGCAAGGAGAGGCGGTCTATACGTGCGAGGAGACGGAAAAGGAACTCAGGGTTCTGGGGAACCCCGCAGGCCGCAGCGCGAGCAAGGCTGGAAGGCGACCAAAAGAGAGAGAGATAGGAGGTACATGTGTGCTCAGCAGCGAGCGATTGGGGCGTGTCGAGTTGTGAAAAATAGGATCAGCACGTATGTACCGAAATGAAGTAAAGCGGCTTGAAAGCACCAAGCTGACTGAATCAGTCTCCGATGGGGATGCGAGAAGGAAAACAGGAATCACTACGACATGGACCGGTGCTGCTCCTCCACGCTCGGTGGTGCCCGGCGAAGAGGGGGGAGCTCTGCGAGAAGCCCACCATTTCCTTCGGCCGCATGGATCTGCTGGGCATCAAGCTGAAGCGTTCAGCCCCTCCCTTGTCAAGGCCTGAGTTGCGAGATCATGATGCATCGTGCCAAGTTGTCGCTTGTCTGCAGAAAGGTTTTGCCGCTGCGTCTACCCATGGCGAGGGACCACATCTCCCACGTCTCCCACATCTCCCACATCTTTCTCGGACCACGTAGCTACTGTCTGTCAGCCCAAGCCGTGTAGATTAGAGGCAGCACTCTGCGGACCAGGGTGAAGCGACAGAATGAAAGTATGTGAAAGGTATGAAGGGTATGCAGACAACTATGCACTCGCAGAGACGTTGTCCCAGTTCCCAGCGCAGAGGGTCAGACATGGCACGTCGACCATGGGACAGGGGGCAAGGGACATGGATCAGCCATGCTTGTGCGTGTACTGGCAGTCTAGACTGCCTGATCGATGGGACAGCTGCAGAAGGGCAGGACGGGACCGAGGTGGCACGGCAGTATAGCTTGCTCCCCCAAAGTATACAGTCGTGGGTAGCCTGTCGTGTTGGCATTTTTACATGGTCGAGTCTTCCGGCGGTGCTCGTTGAGCAAAAGTCGCAGGCAGTTCGTAGGTGATGACGCTGTTGTTACTCTGGCTGGTAGATTGATGCTAGGTGACCGGCTGGCGGTCTCGTCGCCTACTGTGGTGTGCAAAACGGCGGATTGGTCTGGTCGCGCCTAGTCATTTGCTTGTGCCCCGAACGTCAACTTGGGGCTCGACTCACGAGTGTGGGTCAACATGTATGCCAAGCGAACATGAAGGCGAGGCGGGGCATGGGGGGGCCGGGAAGAGGCCTGCTGCATAGCTGCAAGCGAAGTGCATGTCGTTGAGACTCGAAAGTCGCAGAATGATCCGCCAGGAAGCTGACCAGAGGCGGGGAGGAACTGGAAGCCGTCACGTGAAGGTCACCACTTCCACAGGACATACCTGGTGAGCCTCCAGATTGGCTTTCGGAGTAGTCGTCCATGGCAGACGGGGTATTAATTTGCTCGTGAAGGGTAGGTGGATTCACCTGCCTAGGTACCTAAGGTGGTCACTGAGGCAAGGCAGGATGTGATGTGTAAGGTGAGGTACCTAGGAAAGCAGGCGCTTTAGAGTGTTTGTTGTGCTTGATGCCTGCCTGCCTTACTTTGACGACCACTCGACCAGAGGGGTCGCAGGTGCCTGCCTTGGGTGGTATGGTCACTATCTCCAGCGGAAGCGCCACTAGAGCTGATGCCTGAGACCGGGCACAACCCCCCCAACCCCCCAACCCCCGACGCAAATTCCTACCACGTATACCACAGCTTCAGGCCCCAGATACTTATGCATTCTAAAGACCATCTAGATACACCATTCCATCCTAAGCTATCACCTTGACTTCGTACCAAGGTAGGTAGTCTCAATGGGAATAATGGGAATGGACACGCATCCGCGATCGACATAGCATCAAAATCTGGTCCATAGGCCATGGCCTTCTCGTATGTCTACAACAGAGTTCGGGTCAAACCAGAGACGCGCGACGTGGACGTAACATTCGAGCATTTCGACCTCGACAGGTTATTTCCACCCACTCTGAGTAGCTGGTGGTCTGAACTTGGAAATGCGCATCTTTGCGATGTATGCGATTGTTGCCCCCCCCCCCCCCTCCCCCAAAAAAAAGTCAACAGTACGGTAAGTCTGCTTCGACCTCTCTGTTGGTAGCGAAGTTTTCGTGAATCCCCTAGGCTGCGTGGTGTACGCCAGAAGCCCATGCCCACGTCTGTGACAGACCAGCGCCCTGAAAACTCGGCCACATCACAGCCGCTACAACATGCTTCCACACGGCACCGATACCCGATCTTGTGCAGCGTGATCGTCCTTCGAGGTGGAAAATTCGACAGCTTCGCACCATCCGCAAGAATTCGAAATTCTTGAAGTCGAACCTGCCCGGTTATTCCAGCCATCACCATGAGTCTGGTTCCACAGCAACATTTTTTCACCAGCAACCGGGGTTCCACCAGCGTAACAAAGTCCTCGCAACATCAAGCGGGTAGGGTCCAAGATGGCCGAAATTCATCTACAGCATCGAATCCTGACGCTATCACCTAGGAAGTCAAGCCACGGGTCGCCGCAAAGTTCCCGACAAAGGCCGCCAGGCGCCGTACCACGAAATAGGCTGGCCGCTGGCAATCTCTCGAGCGGCCATTCTCACCTCCGCCCGGCGATGCTAGAGTGGTGCGATAACAGTCGACCGTCCACTGTACCTTTCTGTGTCGAGCTTCTCCGGCGCGTGAGAATTCAGTGTCAAAACCCCACCGTCACATGTCGAAAGTAATTCTATACATACAGCCACTGGCTACGGGGTGAGGTTCTGGTATGACACTGCTTTGTCTGAAAATCCCGATATGTAGGTTAATCTGCAATGTAACTGACACCCACCAGACTTTTCTCCGAAATGTAATGCAACGATGCACACATCCAACTTTGACATACTTCAAACAGTAGCTCCAGGCATGTGATGTGAAGAAACGCTCCGCTTGTCTTGCATCGTCTGTCTGCGAAGGGCTGACACATTGTCATGCAGTTTCAGACATGGATTCGGCCACTTCGGCCACTACCATGTCAGCATGATGATAGAATCCAAGTCGTGTCCAGAAAAGCACAATGACCAGAATGACGCGGGAAGACTGCCTGTTGATGGCGTCCGTTGGCTGACCCAATTCCCCTTTTCAATGGCCCAAAACTGAGGCTCGTATCGGCAGTGCGGGTTACACGACGTCAATAGTCTATCGACTTCAGCCGAGTTTGGGGGTTATCTGTGACTCTCGCAGTGCTGGGGACTCAGAAAGCAAAACAATTCACCAAGATCGCTGATCGGGCGCACAGGGAGTAACACGAGCTCGCCCAACGTGCCGTGGCAATCAACAAGAACAGCAAGATCAACATTGGCCCCAGACCTGTTGGTCGAGAACGCCTCGTGAGTGACCGATCCACTAATCGACCAGCGTTGTCGCCAGAAAAGTACTTCCCCAATGTATCCAACAAAAGGAGTCTAGTGTCATGTACGGCTTGCGTGGATTGGGCTGACTTTGGCATGCCGTCTAGATTGGCCTGGTCATCATCAATGCCGCCAGAGACCTGCCATGTATATGCCAGTAGGCCGGGACGGCAAGGGAGGTCATGTACTGTTAATGATAAGCTGGTCGAAGATTTTCTCTGCGTTTGGATACCATGGGTTCTGAATAACTGACGACTTCTTCAAACATTTATGGCCTTGCTCTACCATTATTCCAGGAGCATCTGGTTACCGATGACGTGAGACCTACAACTTAACAAGCTCCCCAAGTGGATATCGGCAAACATGGGGATGGCTTCGGTTCTGGCCCCTTCGTCGTGAAGATTGAAGGCGATTGACAAAGTTTTTGACCTTAATGATTATGCCCTGTTAATTCAGTGCACGAGTGAGTCCCCTGGCTACATAAACTTTAGAAAGGATATTATGAACTTCAATCCCCTAAGCAGAGGCAGAACGTTGATGTTCGTTGCCCTTCTTAAAACCGGTTAATAGAAAGACACTTTGACTGTATGGCTGCTAACCAAATTGGGCGGAGAATCGTTAGAGCGTACCATGGGCTTTTGGAAGATGTGACTCGATGTCTGAGCGACGTACGATTTGATCATTTAAGATCAGTGTGAGTAGAATAACTGGGCCTAAGGTTATGAAAGCTATGTGATATCATCGTTTTAGTTACTTGGGAGTCGGTTGACCTATGGGCTGAAGCCTTGCATGACGTTTCATCTCTTCCAAAGCTGGAGGCGACCTAACAGAACCATTCTTTGATTTAAAGGTTATACTTTGTTCCCGTCTTGAATGTCTATACGGAGCCATCCCGACACGCTACGAGGCTATCAGTAAAAGAGAGACACTAACCCAGACACCACGCAGGCCCTGCTAAACCATTGTATGTTAGAAACAGGAAGACGCGGAACGCGATCAGTCAGAAAGTCAAGATAAGATCCGACCCTTGTCGTGCCTTGTCGCAAGATCGGGTGGGTTCTGGGCCACTTCGTTAAAACAGCCGAGATGCCAAGCGTACGCCGCGGCAAGAACGGCAATGATGAATAGTCTAGACTTGACCACGCTGCACTGATGGAGCGTCAGCCTATGCCCAGGAAAATCTCAGGCCCCTTGTAGTCAAACGACAGATATGGGAAAGCGCGCTGTTGCAGGTCTAGAATACATCGCGATATCTCGTGAGAAGGGCAGTCTCTTCTCCTAGCCTTCTTCTACTTCAAACAAACTCCAAGCCACATGATCCTTGACACCATGTTGCTTGAGATTTGCCATGCAGCCGCAATCCTTGTTGCTCCGCGTCCGGGCGGAGGCAGCCGCAAGATTCCATGTGAAGTCGGGAACATAACACAATCAGGTCCCTGTGCGCTTGTCGAATTTGGATGGCAGACGAAGCACAGATCACAAATTGTGGTGCCTCCCGAATGTTCAGGGATGCTTCGGCCCTCGTCCTCATTTGAAACACATCGAATAGACGCCATTCCTCTTTTGCGTTAAGTAATCCCCCTGAGGTGCTGCATTCGGAGTTTTCGACGCCCATATCGACTTCTTGGCCAGCTTCAGTATGTCAACGGAAATTACAGAGGGGTTCAATAACGCAACATACAGCCTCCTATGGCCTGCATTCGCGGACCAAGTGGCTGGGCTCGGCCGGTGCCAACCTCATGATTGAGGAGCTCACATTAAAGTACTTAAGAGAATCAACACCGACGATGGAAACGTATTACTTCCAGTCCAGTCAGTTTTTCGTTCCCTCTTTGACTTTGATCTAGTCGTTCACGCCTTCACTTCCATCCCTTTTTTTCGTTCTTTACACTACATTCGTTCCAATAACTCGGCAAGACACAGGATGTCTGCTTCCATTCTTTTCACTGCCGCCCTGCTCGGCGTGGCCCAGGCCTACACCGTCATCAGCGCCCCCGGCCCCTTTATGCTCAAGAACATCGACCCCATAGTCTTCCCTGGCCAGTATGACAAGTCTCATCTGCACTCCTTCTTCGGCTCCGACGCCGTCACGGTCAGCACGAAGACCAGCGCCGAACTTCAGAAGGGCTGCACCAACCTCGAGAACCCCAACGATCTGTCCGTCTACTGGATTCCCACGCCTCTCTTCACCAAGGATGGCGGCAAGACGTACGAGCCCATTCCTGTCGCCCGCTTCAGCGCCTACTACAACCTCGGCGAGGCGCCCGCGGAGGTGGCCATCCCACAGAATCTGAAAATGGTCGCCGGCGACGCCCAGGCCAAGACCAAGGCCCAGGTGCCCGCCGACTCCAAGGCCGAGTGGTTCTGCGAGGGCGGCGGTGGCGGTGCCCTTGACGCCAACGGCTTCCCCAGCGCGACCTGCGGCACTCACCTCCAACAGCTCCTCTACTTCCCGAGCTGTGTCAACGAGGCGACTCTCGAGACGGCCTACAAGTCCCGCACTCACGGCACCCCGAACTGGTGCCCCAAGGGCATGAAGTCAATGCCCCAGCTTCGCTTCAGCATCCGCTACAACCTCCGCAAGGTCCTCCCCAACGGCTGGTCCGGCGCCGCCGCCCCCTTCAAGCTCTCCTGCGGCCCCGCCTGGTGCTCCCACGGCGACTTCATCAACGGCTGGACCGAGGACTCGGCCCGCGCCATGGTCCCCACCACCTCCTCCAAGCGCGACTTCTTCGGCGTCAACGGCTCCCGCGGCGCCTACAAGGCCGGCGCCCAATGCAAGGCCACCGACGCCGACCCAACACGCGGCACCAGCGACTACGCCAAGAGCGTGGTCGTCATGGGCAAGCGCAGCGTCGATTCGGCCGGCTGGCAGTCGCGGTCCCGCCTCGTGCGGTCCGAGTAAGCCAACTCAGACCTCGCACCCGCAGCGGGCCCACCGCTCCCTCACTGTACATAGACCAAGGATCATCTTCTTCGTATCATACTTCCGGTGTGTTTATCTGTAATAAACCATGAGGTTACCGATAGTCTGCAGGCGTGAGGCGATTCTACTGTCGTCTCTAAAAAGAAAAAAAGAAATCTTTGCTCTTGAACATGACTTGTATCATGACAGGCTCAGAATCAGCGAGCTTGGGTTACGCAGACGCTGTTGAGACCACATTGCAAATAGACACTCCGAAACCTAGCGCGTCGTAGTTTCGCCAGCGATTGGCCGGATGCCGAGTGCTCCAAGACATATTCCTTCCGTAGCACAAAGAACATGTAAGCCTACAGTCTGGATGAGCTTGTTGGCCAGTGAGCCGAACTGTCCGTCATCCACCAAAAGATGATGATATACAGCGTGTTCAACAATCTTCCTATTACAGACGACTACACGAAGACGATTCGATTCATAAATGCACTATAATCTATCGACGATCTGAGGAGGAAGCATCTCCAGGATGAGGCATACCTTTATCCTCTCTAATAAAAGTATAAGACTTGGTGGAGGCATGAGCTGTAAAAGAACGTGAGCATCCGACAGCGGCCAATTTGAGTTATCCCAGTGCTCCATCTCCCACCATGTGCTGCACGCCGTACTGCCCTATCGCTAGTAGATACAACCAGAAACAAAAAAGTCCCAATGCAGGATCTCTCATAAGACTTCATCGAAAAGGAGCGTATAAAAGGGGGTAAGACAAAAATGTGACCATGACTAATAAATAAGAGGGCGGTGGTGATCTTTGGCGAGCGCACCATCGTAGCCTCAAGCAAGCTTACTGACACAGAGCTTCGCGGATAAAGGTACCCATCATTTTGGCCTAGACTGTGTTAGTCGCTATATATTGAGCCAGACATGCGAAAGATTACTTACGTAGTCACCATGCATCATAGAAAAGTGGTTTCCTGGCATAGACCTGGTACGAAATTTGGCAATGTCAAGATACTCGTCCCAGCGGTTGGGACCAAAGTCGGTCCGGTTGTCCAAGAGGAAAAGAGCGTGACCCGTGGGATACGGATCAGGACGAGGGTCGGTTGGGAGGTGGCACACGCCATCCTCGCACCAAATGGCCATGACGTTGGGGCATTTGTCGGCGGGAATGGGCTCCGCCGTGTAATTGCTGAGGGCATTGACAGAGGCTGCGAAATGAGGAAGCAGCCAATCGGGAATCTTCTTGCTCGACGCATCTTCGCGATCCCCAAGGAGCCCAATGGAAGCAAACCAGGCGTGCAGAGATCGAGGGAGCGGCTCGATAATGACGGGGCAAGGGGAGTCTATAAGGATCAAGTTATCGACGCGCTCGCCGACCTTCGTGAGCTGGTTGACAATCTCGAAACAGATGACACCACCAGCCGACCAACCCCCAATATGGTAGGGACCCTCCGGTTGGCGACGTTTCATCTCCGCGATAAACTTGACAGCCATCCCATACACGCCGCAATTGAACTCCTCGGGAGTCTTCATGAAGGGCGAAAAGAGCCCCCAAACGGCCCAATCAGGAGAGATTTGGCTAATCTCGGTGTAAGAGGTCGCGCAACCGCCGCCATCGGGAATCAGGAAGAGCTTCTTGGTAGCAGTTCGCGTACTACCTTGCAAAAGAGTCGATGAAGCCTTGCGATGGGGGTAATGATCAACGATCTCCTTGGGTGGTGGGGGCTTGGTGATGCTTGCTGTGGTGTTGCCGGGATGGGTGTTGATGACCCGTGTAGGGGCGACCGGCGGCGAGGCTGGGCGAGCAATGCTGGACACTTTGGGTGCTACTGGTTCTACTGGTGCTACCTTCGACTTTGGTCCACATCCAAGCGCCTTCTCAACTTGGGACAGGGAGGGGTTAAGGACGAAAAGGTCGCCAGGAATATCCAAACCTGACTGCTCTCGTAGTGTGCCCAAAATGGAAAGACTCATCAGCGAATCCATACCAAGTGCAGCCAAGTCCGGAGCCGCGATGATTTCGTCAACATCAACGCCCATTTCTGCAGCAATGGTAGACCGTACAATGGATTGCAGGCTGTCGTGACTTTCACCATCCTTCAGTGATGTCTCGTCACTCTCGTTTGGGGGTGTTGTGACAACAGAATCAGAAGATGTCAGGTCCGATTCTGAGTCCGAGACGCATGAGACACCAGAGTCTTGGGCCCCATAGCTCCCAGAGCGGCTGTGAGTCTTTTGGGCAGGACTGGCATCATCATGAACTTTGAGCTGGGCCAGGAACTTCTTGAAAGCGCCGACCGTTGCATGGTCAACGAAAGCATGAGAATCGATATCCAGATCGAGCTCCTCTCGCATACGTCCAGCCACGGTGAGCGCCATGAGTGAGTCGCACCCAAGGTCTGTGAAGGCAATGTTATCGGCAAGCTCATCATGAGACACGCCGACTTCCTTAGCAATGATATCCATGACCTCAGCCACAACTGACATGGGCTTGGCAAGCTTTGCGTTGACTGTGTGAATATTGGAGGAAGTCAGCGGCTTCGAGGCTTTTGTCTTGGGGGCAGACGCCTTGGGTGGTGACACGATCGTGGGCTTGGAGACACCCTTGGGCGCAGCACCGGTGATCATGCCGGCTGCCGCGCGCCCGCGGGGGGGCAAAACCATGTTCATGACCTTGCGAGGGATCGACTGGAATCTAACGTCGCCGCAGACTCCTACGATGCGGTCGCCATCGAAAACATAAGCATCGCCAGCCATAACCTTGGTGTCCTTGACCGGCTGCATGCGGATATAGGAGCGGTATGTCTTGGAGGCATCGAGCTTCTCAATGAACTTGAGGGAGCCCCAACCGTGGGATATGAATATTTGTTCGCGCGAGTCCACCGCATCTGTACCATTGATGATGAAGCCAGATATGTGGCAGCAGCTATCAATCCAGTACGGACTGAAGAAAAAGTTTCCATCTTTCTCGCTTGTCTGGAAAGAGACTTTGGCGGTGGCTTCGCATGTTCTGCTGTCAAGAATAACTTCTTCCATTCCCTGGAAACGAGGGTTGTAGTCCACAAGGGCAGTGAAAAGCTTGTAGGCCAGGCCTCTGCCGATCTTCGAAGCCTTCCCGACTTTCTCGGCCTCGATGAGGGCATCAACGCGACCGCTGATGAGATATTTGATACGCTCGAACTCGTCAGCCCACTGTTCGGTGTTGCCAAAGTTGACCCTGCATTTCGCGTGCTCAGTCCTCTTTGGGCCTTCACCAGTGTGGAAGACAAGATCAGCGTGGCCAAGAGCAACATTGGTAATTGCTGTACAGCGCAGCATGTGAGATTCGACCTTATCATCAAAGATCAATGTCTTGGGAACTTCCACATCGGAAACATCGAGTCCGATATTTACAGCCTCGGGTCGTGCCAGCTTGTAAGCGTAGTCACAGATGGTCATTGCCATGTCCGCGTACAGCGTCGAAGGGCAGAGAGGGGTTCCGTTGCACAAGTGCCCCTCAAGAATGTTTCTTGTATCCTCGCGGGAAAGATTGGTCTCGGTCTCGATGATGACAGTGTCGCCGTTGATTTCCTCCTTGGTGACGGCATGCACTGAAGTTGTCGAGAGCTTGGGCTTCGGCGCTTCCAGAAGAGCAGGCGCCTTAGCCGGAGCCGAGCCCCGGTTCTTGGTGAGACACCAATCACCACTATACTGCAGCCAGTAGTTCTTCTCGTCGAAGGAATAACTGGGCAGATTGAGTAGACGAGTGGACTCGCTGAAATCCCGGTGGTACTCATTCCAGTCAAGGCTCAGGCCTGCGGTGTGCAAAGTGCACAACCCGTTGCTCAAGGTCTTATAGGTTGGCTCGTTGCGTCGGAGCGTGGGTACCGCAATGGTGGCCACTCCAAAAGCGGCCTTGACCATGTTGGCACACACAGGATGAGGGCCGATTTCCAGCCAGACGGTCTTCTCATTGATTGCTCCTGATTGCTGTGCCGAGATGATGCCCCCGAGGAAGTCCACAGGTTGGCGGGCATGTTTGCGAAGATACGAACAGTCAATAAGCTCATGCTCAACGAGTTTACCAAGAAGAGGTGAGATGACAGGCACCTGAGCAGGCATGAAGCGGGTGGAACGGGCAAGATGCTCAAATTCGTCAAGAATTGGCTCGACTTGGGCCGAGTGGAAAGCATAGGGAACCTTCAGCTGGGTGCACTTGAATCCAGACGCGCCCAATTGCGTGGCAATCCTCATCATGTGGTCGGCTTCACCGCTGAGAACGGTCTCACGAGGCCCGTTGATGCAGGCGATGTTGACTGAGGAGGATTCGGAACCGAGAGCCTCGTTGACAGTTCCAACCGGGCCCTGCACAGCGAGCATGGCATGGGTACCAGCAGTGCACCTGTCAACGAGAAGTCGAGCGCGACTGCCGACGAGATAGATGGTGTCGCTCGCGGACAGCACGCCGGCGACGTTCAGCGCAGCGTATTCTCCGAGAGAGTGCCCCAGAACCACAGCGGGCCTGATGCCCCATGCAGACCACAATCTGGCCAGAGCCATCTCGAAGCAGCAAAGGCCAAGCTGCACAACCACGGGTGATAGGTTGGAGACGTCAGGTTCGCTGCCATCAATCAATGGCACAAAAGACGGGAAGCCATGGACTTCGGCAATATGATTGAACTCATCGATGCTGTCTCTGAAAACAGCGTAGTGGGCGTAGAGGTCCTTGCCAAGACCAGCATAATGAGAGCCTTGGCCTGTGAACAAGAAGGCCACCTTTGGCTGCTCAGTCGAGATGGGCACAAAGCTTTGAGTAAGCCGCTCCTTGATGGCCGACATGGCTTCAGATAAGGTGGAGGCGGCGACATTCAGGCGCCAGTAGTGTTGCATGCGACGGGCCGTTGTGGTGTAAGCAACATCAGCAAGCGGGGTTTCAGGATTCTTCTCCATCCACGTAACCAATTGTTCAGCATTCTTAATCATGGCCGTCTTGGACTTGGCCGTGATAGTAATGACTTGAGCACTGCGAGGGTCCGCTTGTGTGGGCGTCTGGCTAGGACCATCCTCCAGGAGGAGACCAGTATTACCACCGGCGGCGCTGAAGTTGTTGATGAAGATTCTCCTGGGTCTCCCATCATGCCTTTTGAGGGGTGTCATGTGGAAAGCTATGTTGACGTTTCGCTCCGCAAGATCCTTAGGAAACGTCTTGTTGATATCCTTCTTTATGCCGACGTGAGGAGGGATGGCATTTTTTTGCAACATCATGAGAACCTTGCAGAGAGCTGTCACACCTGAAGCAGCCTCACCGTGGCCGATGTTGGATTTCACAGCGCCGAGATACAGAGGTCTGTCTGCAGGACGCTTGCGGTTGGCAGGTGCGAATACGTCTGTGACAGAGACCATCTCCGTGCCATCACCGGCCTGAGTACCAGTGCCGTGCATCTCGACGTAGTCAACATCAAGAGGATCGACGCCAGCCTCATCGAGAATGGCTGATGATAGGATCGACTGCGTAGGTCCGTGAGGATGGGTAATCGATATGGCATCGGCAGAATGGTTCGTCGCCGTGCCCAGGATGACCGCAAGGACATTGTCCTTGTCGGCAATGGCATCATCCAGACGCTTCACGATGACGGAGGCGCAGCCATCAGCTCGGCAGTAACCATCGGCTCCATTGTCAAACGTGGCACAGGGACCAGTCTTGGACAAGAACTGGCCACGGCTGAGTCCTGAGAAAATATCGGGGTTGGTCATGCAAGACAAGCCGCCAACGACTGCCGTGTCACAGTCTTTAGCCCAGAGCGAGGTGCATGCGATTTGCAGAGCTGCGGCACTGGAAGAACAGGCTGTATCGATGTTCAGACTAGGTCCACTGAAACCGAAGTGGTAGTTGATTCTGCCAGGGCCAAAGGCGCGTACTCCCCCGGTGATGAAGTATGTGTCGACTTCCTGTGCGGCATTGATTTCTCGCCAATCATCGGAGGTCTGGCCGTAAAATGTACCAATCCGGTCAAGCCTGGTCGAGGCTGTCCGATTCGGGACATACCCTGACATTTCCAAGGCTTCATAGGCCGTGGTTAGGGCCATGCGTTGCATAGGGTCGGTCTGGTAAGCTTCGCGCGGCGACATGTTGAAGAACCTGGGGTCAAACAACCCAGGGTTCTCAATCCAGCAGCCATACTGGGTGTGACTAGTGTTGATGGCTTTACCTGTGATATCATAGTGTGTATCGATGTTGAATCGGTCCGCTGGTACGACACGGTGGACGTCCAAGCCCTGCGACAAAAGCTCCCACAGCTTTTCGTGGCTTGCAGCATCAGGAAAGCGACCAGCCATGCCCACAATGGCTAGCTTGCACTTCCCACTGGGTCCATGATTGCCAATACGAGCGTCACTGCTGTTTGTGACTTTTGGTGGTTGACAAGTGATGACGGTGAGCTCTGTCTTTTGCTTGATGAGACTGGAGAGACTCTCGGCGTTTGTTGTTGGGCCGAAGGGGATGACCAGACAGCTAGTACCGTCAAAAGCTTGCGCTGTCTCAACACAGAGCTCAAGTCCCTTGTGGAATTGTAGTAGCTCTGTCAAGCACTCTCGAGTGACAGTACGAATAAGATCCTTCGTGTCGAGGCTGGCGATCCAGGTGCCTCGAGCTCCAGACATGACCGCCGAGCGTGGCCTGGTCTGCTCAAGAAGACGAGTAACGTTCACGTCGTCAAGCCTCAACAGTCTGTCAATGTCGACACCAGAGTGTAGGTGGGCAGAGTGATACGGCCCATACACAGGGATCGATGTCGACTGTGCACCCAATAAATTGCTTTCAACCAACGCCTTGAGAGTTGTTGGAGGACCAGAGATGGCTAGACGGTGGGTAGACACAGCACTGATATAGGCCTGGCTAGGAGGAGGTACGGACTAGGCAGCACAATATTAACAGCTGTCGGATTCATTGCAGGAGACATGCGTGCTTACATGGGAGGAGTGGAAGCTTTGGAGGGCCTTGGTGACATCGGCCTCGGTGACATCGACCAGGACGTGCGTCCAAGGATCAGACCGACTAGTAGCAGGGCACAGCCTCTCCGCCAATGAAGCGACATGCGAGCCGGTTCGGAATGCCATCAGGACAGTCTGCACGGCAACGGGTATCAGGGTAGACACAGAAGCCGTCGATGCCACGGCTGCAGCAGCGAACAGACCAGTGCAAAGACCGAGAATGTAGGTGTCCTCATGGGCCTTTACATCTTGAGGTTCCTTCTCAGCTCGACTGTACAGTAACATTAGTTCTCTATGTTCCACCTCTCCCGGAGACCGCTCAGGGGCTTACTCGATATAGTGAGCTAGTTGAGCGACACAAAGTAAGGCGCTGTCGACACCGGAGTGCTTGCGAGACTGGGCGTGATATCTCTCGTTAAGCTGTTGGAGAGTGCGAAAGATGGGTAGTTGGGCGCGATCCAATTTCCCCAGACCATCAATCTCCTCCCTCAAAGCCTGGCCGGCCTGTTCGAGAAAGGTCTTGGCAAGGATACCCGGGGCCCCTAGACGATAGAACTCGGCCAAGAAGGCATGCGTGTTGAGCGACTGGTCTCCAAAGAGGAGAAAAGACATGGTGCCGACCATTGTGTGGATTGGTCACCAGAGATGCCTTGGTTGAACTGAGTGGTATCAGGCACAGAGATCTACCGTAGGGATGGCAGACAAATTTATATCAAGGGCAGAGAGGCTCAGCGTGCCTGGACCCCCCTGTCAGGCTCATTGACCCAAAATAATTCATCTCAAGTCGTCACGTCACCATACTGATAGCTACCCTCCACGAGCCGGATCTATTTGATGGATGAGCCGCCCCCAGGTCAGGTAAGACAGGGCCAAGGGTCAAAGATGCCGGTCATAACTGCACACTCCTCTTGGTCCCACCCAGTCAAGGAGGGAATAGACTCATGTGAGACCGGCCCTGAAAAGCGTCGGTCACCGAAGCTTGTGGGAGAACGACAACAGGTTGCCTCTTCTGGACGGAGCCGTTGGCTTGGGTATCTGGCGTTTGCGCCACCTGGCGGCGACTATGACGGACGATCAGGATCAGGAGGCCAAGGCAAGCAGGCGGACTGACGGACAGGTGGACGGACAGGCAGTCGATTAGGCTTCGTCTGACAGTGTTCCCAAGCCCTAGCCGTCCCGTTTTGCGGTTAGTTTGTGCGAGCTGCCAGGCGTGGCAAGAGGTCCATGACGTGATCAGATAAATTAATAGGCTCTAGGTCGCGAGTTTGATGGTAGCTCAGACATGGGCGATGTCACGAGCGCACGCGCACTGGTATCAGAAGTGCGTGCTTGACGGAGCTCGGTCATGGCTCTCGACGACGATAGCTGGCCGTCAGCCCTGGCCCTGAAACCTGTACGGCCAAGACTGATTGAGCACCCTGTCGAGCGCCTGTATGCACTGTCGGAATCTGTCGTGTGAGACAAGAAAGATCCAGAAAGTGCAGAGGTCCTCATGCCGGGCTACCGGATGGAAGGGGCGGCGGCTGACGGTGCGAGGCAACACGAGCCAGACGGTAATACTTTGGCAGCGGCAGTCGAAAGATGACCCAGGAGAGCTCGGACGAAACGGCGTGCCGTCAATGAAGGAAGGAGAGCAGAGCAGATCCTGTCTGTTTTTCGAGCCAAGTCCGTGGGACTTGGTGGGTCGTGGAGAGAAACAGGTGGTCGAGCATTTGGTCCGACGGACATCCCCAAGGTGCTTGGGCCACGGAGAGAAGCTCAGGGTGAGATGGTGGCCCTTGCTGTTCCAGTCGCCGCCGGCGGCTCTTTCGGGAAGAAAGTAGCCTTGAGAATTGGCAGAAACATGGCAGCAGTGCTCCAGCGCGATTTGAGATGGGGGGAAACCCCAGCTGCGCCATATCTTGTGGAAGATGGACAGTCGCACTTTGGCGGCTAGAGATGGGCCTACAATGACAGAGTTGCTGTGAAGTCGCGACCCGTGGAACTCGTGGCTCACAACGCCCTAACATTGGACGGAAGTCGCATCCTGTCAGCCAATCATAACCTCCATGGGCACGAACTGTTCGCGTTCCAGCGAATGGCGGATTGATCCGGCCTCCCACAGTCCTTTCCTCGCACCAAAAGGGGGCGGCTTTGGTTCTGCCTCGGCCTTGCGGCTGCCAACAGTGCTATGCATCCACCACCCACCACCATCCAACAACATGTATGCAACACTGGACATGCTCTGTTTGCATGCGCCGAATCTTGATCTTCGAAACTTTTGTATTTGTCGCAGCCTGGACATGTCTGATGACAGGAAGACTCAGCAGAATGCACCCTCAGTTGCCCCTTCCGCCCTCGGAATCCAGGACTCACATGCCCACTTTACCTAGGTAGGTCAGCAGCCTCGGAACACGGCGAACCTCCGCCGAACCTTCGCGCCGAACTATCGACTGCTGTGCCATGATGCTAAGGCCTTGCGGCTCTGATCTCAGCTGAAATGGTCTTTCTTCTCCTCACCATGCGTCCGATCCCCGGATGCGTCAATCAGTGCGTCAAGTCTAGCGGTCAACTTGCATCGCCACGTCGTACCAAAACACCACAAGAACAAAGCCAATATCAGGCAGTGTCTAAGGTAGGCGGCCAAGCGTATCTGAGAGTAGGCTGTGGGGAATGAGCACCTACGCCGGCTTTTTAACGCAAAATGAAAGCCTGAAAGAAATGGCTTCGATGCTCCACTTCCAGGTTGAGCTACGTCTCAGGCACTGGTGCCATCTGCTTGCTAGATCCCTTGGGTAGGTCTCTTTGCTCGTCCAAACGCATTGTCGTTCCAGGGTCGCCAACTCTTCGCTCTTTGAACGGTATGTCGGGACCCAGAAGCGCGCTAATCGGCACTTGTGCGGATGGACTGGCGGTCGGACTCCCAAGGTGCAAGCCACGCGCCACCATCGTCAGTGCGGCTCACCGAGACCTCGACTTCGGTAGAGTCAACCTCCTGTCTGTCAAGCGACACACAAATGGCAGGTTGCAGCCTGCTTTCTCGCGCTCACTCTGGTGTGGCTCTGGTAGCAACTGACCTGCATCGTTTGCCAGGGCCGGTTCCTAGGCAGAACCGTCAGCTTATTGCTCGGAAATGTTCCTTGTCAACTCGTAGCTTGATTATGGCCTTTCATCAGGCCGCAGAAGCTCAGGAATATCCAGAAGGATGTGGGCGCAACCGGTCTGACATGGATCTGTAGTGTAAGAACGGAGTACTTGTTATCCAGGCTGACACTTTGCACACATTGATCAGTCATACGCATCGACTCTGCCTGCCGCGCTGCTTGTTGTGAGCTGTCACCACTCCTGCCGCTCCGGACGTCCGACGCCATCTTGGGTTTTGAAGCCGAGCTGAGCTGACTACCAGGTCAGCCATAGTATGGCTGCAAGTGGGGGCTTAAGTTGTTTGAGTGCTGGCAGAAGAAATAGCTTGGCCAACTGCTCAAGAGTTTCTCCGGCGGCAGCGGACGGAACATGCGTCCGTCTCTTGACCAGGGGTATGTACACGGCAATCTTCATGCTGCACACGACGAAGATGGTGGTGCGGTTCTTATCTCGATACTGCAATTACCCCTCCATTCATCCACCGAGCCATTACTTCTTGGCACTGCATCACCGAAGCAATCGTTCTTTTTAGCTGTCATTAATGTCAGCCACCAGCCCAACAGCATGGGCAGATAAAGCACGTGGCCGTGATCGGGCAGCAAACTGTCTTCAATACACTCATCATCATACATATCACCTGTATCATATCGAACCAAGCCGCAGAAACAGGGATGATGCCGGCTTCCCCAACCATCTCCGGTGCTGCTGCATAAGCTGTTCCATGGAAAACTTTGAAGCGGCGGGCTCGCGGAGAATTTCTATCCTGTCGGAAGCCTTGACGACAATAGACAAGGCAACACAGCATGTTCAGCTCAGACATTCCCAAAAACCGCTGTCCCTTGTCTCAACTTGCTGTTGTGCTGCTGCTTTGATGGCAACTGCGTAGTTGATGTGGTGACTCGGGTCAACCCATGCTTTGCTTTTGACGTTGGCTATTGCCACCTAACCATCATGTTGCCTCTCACAGAACGTAGACCTCATTTTCGAGCCACGAATAGAAACAAAGAAACCCAGACCTGCGCTAAGCGCTTTTCTTCTGCCTTTGATCGTTGTGGTGGCGTTCCTGACTCCGGAAGGCATCACCATCACGGCCATAGAAAGGTGTCATACTCACTTCCAAACACAACCAGCCTACGCATATGCTGCATGCTATGAAACAAATGTACAATATCAGGCTGCCTATCGTAGCGTCCGAAGCCCGTTCCGGCGCGCTCTTTGCTGTTCCGCGGCACAATGTGCACATCAAAGGCACACCCTGCATGGTTTGGTAGCAACGCAACACATCTCTATCCGGTCTTGTTGAATCCTAGGTACGGGAGATTCATCCAGTCGGTTCTTTGTTCCGTTGCGTGGCGTGCCTAAAAAGCAAGTGGACGGTAACCTGCGGAGTTGGTGTTGTTTGTGCAATTCAGCCTGGACCAGTCAACTCATCCCGAGCTGCTTGGATCCTACGGAATCTGCAGGCCGTTCATCCGTCAACCTTATCGATGAGAGGGGAAGAGAATGGCGTCCTCGGCGTAAATGTATCACAGTGTTAGACTACGGGGCTGGAATAACTGTTGCAGGAAGCAAGGTACGCGCGTCGATTTAGGATGGGATCGGGGGTTGCTTCCGATCTCTAGCGTGGAGATGTGTATATTACCCAGGCTTGGCTTCTCCTCTTTGCCGCTTCGCCAACACACTCGACGTTGCTCAACTCGCGTTGGTTTCTTCACGTGCGTCATTCATGGTAATCTGCCACTGCACAATGGAGACCATGCTCCGAAGTATCTCTTGTCTCCGGATTTTGCATTTGTCCGAAAACTGATATCTATTTGTGCTACAGTTTCCCACAGCATATTTATTCCACCTCGTCATGTCATAGAATCTGTAGGACATTTCTGGCGAATATTCGAATTATGAGTAAGTCTCACAACGTGTTCAAGTTGCCTTCTGTGGACTGATCCCTGACCTTAAATGATTCAATCCGGCAGAAGTATCACCGTGTTGATGACGGAATTGAGTCTACACGGATAGGTGCTGGGACGAAAACCCGCGAACGGCCCTCATCTTCCTTCACTCAACAAACACGGGGGAGAAAGATGTTGTCCATCCCGTAGCGAATGGGAATGCTTACTATATCTAGGCCTCAAGGAATCACATCACATTCAGGTAGGCTAACAAGCCAGAGACTGATTCGGCTTCCGACTTGGTTGGCTATCACATATCACATGCTACATGACCATGTCAACATGGAAGACGGGTAAGTCTGAGTTCTCACCTAACTGGTAATACACATTGAATGTTGACAAAACAAAGAGATCTCTGTCGCTTGAGAGCGTAGTATCAAACAATGTCATCTTGGTCGTCACTGCATAGGCACTTAATCATCACGACAGTTCAAAGTGTATAAATCCTTGACCCGAAAAGGGAGGACTTCACAAGTGATTAAGTATTTCCTCCCGCTGTTTACATGCTAGAGGTAGAAATCATACTTATGAAACGCAGGAAAACGAGCAAAA